GGGGGAGAGGGGGGAGGGAGGGAGGTTTCGGTAATGGGCCACAATAATCAACCACATTGTATTTTGACAAAATTATATATATATATAATATATATATATATATATAAAATGATTATTCTGCAAACTAACAGTCTCCTGACTAACTCAGGCATAGATAATGCTCATTTTATATGAGTTCATACTTTTTCATTTTCTTTTCATTAAATTTGCAGTTTTGTTTTTTGAATCCTAATATATTTTCCTGTGTTACGCAATTTGGCTTAAATCTTTGGTTCAAAAAGTGGTAAGAATTCTATGACTGGGCATTGCTATTTGGAGAATCACTGGAGTAAAGCAAGTTTAAAATAGTTCCTTAACTAGACAGGCTTTCAAAAACAATCACGTTTTTGCCATGATAAGTAGCTACTGACCAGTGGCTATTACTACTTTTGGCCTTCTAGTTTCTAAAAGCATTCCTTAGGGATCACAACCACAGAATAGGGAATTCAAAGAATAGCAATGAGACATCAAACATCCCTATAGTATTAAAGACTTCCTGTGTTAAAAATAGCTTGTTTTCATAGTGACTTCAAAATGTCACTTGTCCTAGGATGCTTTTATTCCATATATGTTTCTAATGCTTACAAAATTTAAACTAAATAAATTATAGCATTTCTTTAATTACTTGAAATTACTTATATGAGACTGAAGAGCTTTTTAAAGTTTTATTACAAAAACTTCAAGAATTGATTTGTTTCATCAATTGCCCTATGGTCCTCAGGTTCATAAAGAGGTCTCCAATCAAATGTGATCTCTCCTGTGCAAATGAAAAACCATACCACAACTGGGTTTGAATCCAATAGATAAAATTAATGTGAGTGCTTAAACTGGCATTGCTAATCAACAGAATAATAATGAAACATTATAAAATATTGTCTGTAGGAAGATAATGATGTTAATAATAAGATATTTGTATTATTAAAGATATGTTAACATCAAGATATTCGTTATCTAAGATAAAATGCCCACTGAGTGTTCTTATATTTCCTTTAATAATACGTGGAGTTTTACAAACAATTGCACTATAAATTTATTCCTTTACACCTGAGGGACTCTCATCAGCATAAATAAAGTAAACATGGTTATATTCTTTCCCCAGTCTAATTTAGACAATGTTTAGGAATTCCCTATTAATTTCTGTTATCTGTGGATACATTTAGCATGTGACGAGATGTTTATAATTTGTAGCAAATATTAAGATAATTTTAATGGGTAACATTAGATAATTTACATAGTGATAACTAACCATAAATCATAATAAAGTATAACTTCTTTAATTTATCTCAAAATTCCAATGAGAAAGATTCCTAAAGTCAAAATCATAATATACACTCATTCATTCATTCACTCGTCCTGCAAATACTTGTTGAATACCTACTATGTGTTAGCCTAGTGTAAGCAAACAGTGGTACACAAGACTTAAATATCTACTCATATCTCATGGTCATATGTAAACTACTAATTATGGTAGTATTCCCAAAAGGTATCTAACATTTATAATTTTCTTTATCCATAATAATATAGCTTGGATGAATTCATGTATATCACTCAGTGAAATCTTTGTGCTATTATAAGCTCTGGTTCCATATTAGGGAATATTGTATCCTTGAATCAGCATTAACGGATATGCTGCATCATATTTTAAGGAATATGTGAAGAAGTAAAAGTATGATACCTCCTTTAAGTGAACCATATACAAAGCCAAGGTAAATAAAGCTAATAATAGTAGTGTTAAAAACACATTGAAAATTTATGTAACTTCATGTATGCATACATATATGTATATTCAAAAAATAAACGCACAACTGTTCTTTTAGATGTATCATACAAATATAAGAACTATGATCTATATATACTTAAATATTTTATCCATGTGAATACAATTCCAGAAGTGACTCTAACTACATGGATATTAATTTTAATATATTGGTTGAAAAAGGTATTATTTTAATTTCAATTAATAACTTGATAATGTTAAAACCAGTACAATGACAGGCAGGGAAAATCTACTATGATTTCTGTGTGTGATAGCTGCAATTATTTTTTTATTTGTTATTTCCCAATAACGAATCATCTCTTTTTAAATCATCTTTATCATTGCATTTCTGGAAATATCATACAAACCCAATTTAAAAATGGGCAAAGGAGATTAGATAGACAGAGACATATGTAACACAAAACAGAGGACAGCATAAAAAAATAACAATAGTAGTAGTAGTACTTGTAGTAACCACCACCACAATCATCACAAGCACCACCAAAACCAACTTTTATTCAGTATCTGCTTTGTATCCGGCACTAATTAAATCATTACATCACTTTATATGATAGGTTATTTTAACTACCATTTTAAAAATGAGATAACTAAGAAACAAAAAAACTGAATCATCTAACCAAGGTCATATAGCTAGTAATGAAAAGATGCTCAACCTTACCAGTAATCAGCAAAATGCAAATAAAAACCAAGGAAATACCATTTCACAGTCATCAAATTGAAAATAAAAAAGTCTCATAATACCAAGTACTGAAGGGGATATAGAGAAATAAGAATTTGATTATGCCAACAGTGGCAGTAAAAATTAGGCAACAATCTTAAAATAAGCATTTAACAATATC